TGACTGACCCTGTTATTGTTATTAAGTCGAATCATAAAGTAAAACGAATTGAATCTGTAACACAAATTTGTAGGATTTTTGCAAGTGTGACAGAAAATGTCACAGTTAAATGCAGATTAAAAATGGTTTTAATTAACAAAAGTAAATGTGAGTCAATCCAATAAGCGATTTGTGTATGTATATTACATTTTTGTACAAACTTTAAACAGAAAGGATTCAATAAATTACATTGTCATTGACTACACACAAAAATCATAAGTTATTCTTAAACTCCAGGATACACCAGCATGATAAGATGAAATAGAATTACCAAGAGATTTCTTTCGTTGTCCAACTGTTTTTGTTACTTTCTCACCATCAGATGAACTAGTGTGAGCCTCTCTTGGCGTGGCACTCAAACGCCTTCTGGCAGTGGACTTATTGACATTCGTCTGCTTGCCAATCTGTGGAGTTGTCACAATCTTTCCACCAGCCCGTCCTTTTTTCTTTGGTTTCCCACCACTGCCTTGAGCTACTTCGGGTACCGAAGTTGCATTCTTTTCATCTGTATGTTCTGTTTCCATGGTTACCACATCATCTTTCAGTGCTTCCTGCTCAGATGATGCATTTGAGTTTTGTTTCTTCATGCTATAGGTCCTGACTGGTTTATTGAAGATTGCACCATTCTCTTTTTGGGTAGACGACGCCACAGGTGACATTACTGACATTGATGCCTTCAGACCACTTGGAGAGACAACCAACGATGTTTTTCTTGGAGAGGAACGAGTACTAGAACTAGTACTCGATGTATAAGAGCTTGCCCCTGATGACAATGACCTATCAATACACAATGTTTTTTCCAAGCTCAGAGCCCCTTTAGACAGCGTTGGTGATTTTTCCAAACTTGAACTACTCAAGATTTTACCCGTTGAACTATCACCACGAGAGATACTAGATAGACTGAGACTTACACCAGGAATTGAGCTACTGGAACTGGTTTTTTGTAAACTGAGAGAACTGCCTGTTTTGGACAATGAGCTGACATCGGCCATTTCACCCGATGTAGATATTTTTGATGCCGTTGTAGATAAGCTACTACTCATACATGTACTACCAGTGGTTGATAGCGTAGTTTGTACATTTGACTCCATTCCCGACTTGGCCAGTAATAATGTTTTCTCAATTTCAGCATCATGAATTGAAGTAGCACGTAATCCCATCCCATTTGGTGATGTCCTCTCACTACTATGTTGTTCAATAATAGGATCGTCCATTTCCTAGAAATAGAACATATTAGGTATAATGTAATCAAGCACATTGAATTAAAGTGTCTCAGTTTTCATGCAATGTGTATTCAAATTTGCCGTAAATGAAAAAAGGATATTTGTTAACACATGTTCTGTATGAATCATATTGAACATTACATGTCACCATGTTTGCAAATGCAGGTTTACCACCAACATCAACATATTGCAGTACATGTGAATCCTAATAAAGTATGGAGCAGTGATGTCCCTGGGTATCCCTCTACTGTACAAAAGAAAAACTGAGCTAAAATGAAAAACAAAGCAACGTGACAAGTGAGTAAATGTGACCGAGACAATTTTTCAACTCCCAAAATACCTGCAAAAAATATTACGCTATCGTTCGTTATTCTTGCTTAGACAGAACAGTGTACAAATTTGCAGAGGATGGTACAAGTTAGTTGAAAGATGATGGCAGTTTTATTTCAGGGGAATTTTTACATTGCAAGTTGAAAACATTGATATTCATTGTACCACGATTCTGCACGTTTGGAACATATAAAATCCGGTTTGTTGACCACTGGTCATGCAATATGCGCATGGGCACAAACGATAAATGTGCAAACACTATCAATTCGGGAATCAAACTATGTGAACAATATAGATTAAATTGAGAAAATGTTGTCATGTTAGAAGTCTTTCATAAAATAACAACCCCAAGTCAAGGGCGTGTCATTTTATAACAGTCACACTTTGCACATGCCAAATGTCAATACCTCACAAACATTCCCGGATATAACCTTTCCATGTTCATCAATAGTTTCTTCAGTAATGATACGTTTCACCGTTACAACAGTTGTTATTACAGTTCGGCGGGTAACCTTTCGATGAGTCAAACTGGTTTTAATGTGATTGTCGTCATTCTCAGGTTCCTAGTAACAAAAATAATGATATATTATTATTATCTTTCATGGGATTGGTCAAATTTGGTAGTTTGTGTCTATTTTAGCATTACCAGTGACAATATAGGACGGTAGTTATCACATCAATTTCAAGATTCTGGTTGAAACATTTGGTATCCCACAATGCAAGATGCTACTTGTTTGGTGGAAATTGAGAGAAAATAATAATCGGTCAATATATAAGTGAAGTTGTTTTTATTTCAAACATAATGCAGGATCTGGTGAACAGAAAATGGGCTATTCTGTACATCTAATCATTCAGTGGAAGTATTACACATAGCATGGCAACCAAAAGGTTTAAGTTTGATTTCCAATAATTACACTACCTTATCAGAAGGATGATCATTTCCTCTACTCTTTGCAGGTTGTTGTGAACTTTGACCTGGCTTATCACTTGCCCTGTCATCCTTTTTATCTTTACCATTATTTCCGTTGTTGTTGTCATTGTGACCATTATGATTCCCATTATGGTCACCATCAGCACCTGCTGCTGTTTTTTCTCTGACTTTTTTTTTTGGTGTTGGTACTTTGTTGGACTGCGAGTCTGAAAAGATGTATGGATCTCTGCTTTTTGGATGGCTATCCTTCTCAAGGATCGTCTTTTCCTCTGCGACTGGTTCTGTCAAGACCTCCATGTTGTAATCACAAGAAGACCCCTCTTTCCTCAAGCTTCCCCCATCCTGCATTTCTTGTGTTGTTTGTTTCTCTGCATTCTGAATTTTCTTAGAATGCACAGCACTTTCAATCTGTTGTACTTCCTGTGATTTAATTGATCTTAAACTAAGTCTAGGACTGTCTTGTGTTGGCATGGCAACAACATCGTGATGGACATCACTATCTTGACTGTCAATCAATTTCACAACTTTCCTCCTTTTTGATCTGCCCACTTCTTGGGATTCAAACAAATCCAATGATTCCAGAGTTTCTTTTAGCTCATTTTCCTCTTTAGATTTCTTCATCAAATTATCACTCTCCTCTTCATCTTTCTCATCTGCATCACTTGAGTCTCTTCCTCTATTCTCAGGCTGTATGAAACTTTCTCTTTCATGCAACATCTTTATGTCTTTCTCGTTGCTACTCTTGCTACTCACTTTTCGTCGTTTTTTATTCAGCTTACCATTTTTACTTGATTTGAAATCAAAAGGATCATCACTAAAAATAATGTCAAAATTATGTCAGTTTATAGATTTTAAAATGAAAAATATAGTCAACTTGATGTGAAATTGTAAATGGGGATGATGAATATTTTTGTGCCTTATGATTAGCCAATCCAAAAAAATAATTAGCTGTTCAATTGATTGGTGACAACACAAGCACAGAGTACTTCCAAACATCACATCACACGTATTACAACAAACATTACAAATGCATCTAAACACTTTTTATAAACCAACATACTGTTTTACTGTGAATGAAAAAGCGAGATTGATTTTTGAAACAGTTCGTAGTGGTAAGCTGATATTGATCAATATTGCTATTTTGTTTGCAAAACAGTAATACTTCGGGCTGGGTTGCATAACAGTGAGTTATAGGTATTGCAAGAATGAAGGTTGGGTTTTAGAGTAACTATTCACCTTTCATCCGAGTGTCTCCTTTTCTCATAGTCTTGGCATTCTTTGGGTCCAGGTATTTTGGATTCTTTAATCTTGGTAAAAATTGATTCACCAGACGACTGTGTTTGATCTTTTTCAACGGAATGCTCAGCAGACTCTGGTTCTAAATGAAAAAAAAAAAAAAGAAAGCGGTAAAGTTAGTGTTTAGCTATTCTAATAAACATTAAAAAGTTTCATCCAAAAATGTTGTTGTTGGAAAACTCACTTTGTAAATGAAAAACTGGGGTGTCAGTGTTTTCGTCCTGTGAAGGTCCTGCCACACCAACCGTAAGAGAAGGAACATCATCAAGTATAGCTTCTTTTACTGTTACAGTGCTTTCTTTCGCAGCAACTGGCTCCTGACAAAAAATTTAAGTAAAACCCAAATTTAAATGTATATTTCTGTAATATAAGAATTACAAGAGGAGTCTCACAAAATATAATGGCTGTCTTGATAGCGACGAATATGATTAATACAAGATCTTTGTTTGGGGTCATTACATTTTTTATTTTTTTAAATTAAATTATTTAATATACATTTTTTCACTGGAGTGATAATTTTAAATGAACTAACAACCTTAAGGTAGAGATGCAGTTTACCTGACAGGTATTTTAATTAGTTAATTAGGAAACCAAGATGACTTCCCTTGTCCACAAAACTATATATTTTCGGAAAGCTTATTGTATGAGTTTTAAAATTTTGTTAATATTTTTTTTTATGGACACTATAGTTTGAAATATGCACACAAATGTGCTTTTTTGGTCAAAAGTGATTTAAAAAAAATTAGCTTCTAAACCATGCTTCTGTTTCCTGTCAAAATTGGTTTATGGGTACATCTGTTTACAATGAAGAAAGCGTCGTCTTGAAAACTGTCTACCAGTTGTTAATTTTTCAGGGCAGCAGCTCAAATTTCACTACTTCAAGTTTATGCATAAATTAACACTCAGGCTAGTTGTCTGTACGGTTGTTGTAACACTGTTCAACCAAAAACAATGTCCTGACGGCGTTTTGAAGATAAACACATTGTCAATCATTTGTGAAAATTTCAAAACAAAAGGTCAAAGCGTCTAGGAGCTATTTTATTTAAAGTTCTGGGATGTGCACTAAAAAGAAGCTGAGATAATTGCTAATTTGCATAACAATTCACTCAGTAAGAAGTTTGCTAATGCTCATAATTAAAATGGCTGTAAGTTCCAAATTTAAATGTATTATCGTTTTGTTAAAAGTTAAATATAGTGCATAATATGGAGATCCCGTCATTCATATTCACAATTCTACAAAATTTTAACAGTCTTTAGCTAAGACTGTTTGGATAATAAAAAGCAAAAAAAACAAGTCATTGAAAATGACACAGTCCTCGTTAAATTATGGAAAGTGCTCGTCATATTAAAGCAGAGGGGTTGTCGCGAGCCTGTGCTTGAAACTTGAGTTCCAAGTGGCGTATACAACAGATTGTTTATTTACATCAAAACACGTGTTCTGTGTAGTAGTACTATGGACAAAAATAAAAACAGCCGTTATTCGTCCATCTTTGATCTGATTATGAAACACACTGATATGTATGATGTACATGTATGTGCCAATACGAATGAAAATGGTACATAAATTGTGGAAATATAGTAGTAAGGCCAAAAAGTCAGATGGCTGTCAATCGGCCATCCTTGACCAGATTTTGAAACAAATTGTCATGGACATGCATCCTAACATGTATAAAGTACATGTATGTGCCAAATTTGAATGAAAACTGACAGGGCATAAAGAGATGCCGCATAAAAAAAACAAAAAACAAGATGCCTGCCAGTTGACCATCTTTGATATAATTGCGAAATAAATTGTCATGAACATGTATCCTAACATGCATAATCTATGTACCAAGTTTGAATGACAACTGACAAAGCATGTCCAAAATACAACATTTTCAAAAAACAAGATGGCTGCTAGTCGGCCATTTTGAATCGAATCGCTAAACCACTGCATGTGCATATGTCCCACATAAGGTACTAGGCACATGCAAAGAATGAACGGAATCGGTCCAAGGGATTCTGAGATATGACTCCGGACGGACACACGGACGGAGACTGAATTATAAGTCCCCCTTGGGACTAAAAAAATTTCACTCCCAAGTGCCCTCTCTACCTTAAATATTTCATTATATTAAACAGATTGTATAGCAGCATAGTTTATAGAGATTATTAATCAGTAAAGATAAATTAAATCAACCACTTAAAAGACTGATAATGCCTAGTAACTACTGT